GGGTGTGTTTGATGGTGTAGTCCATTTGAGAGTTGGTGGACTGGTTCCCACGGTACAGTCCAATCATTGCCCAAGATAGCTGATAATACCTTGATATAGTACTTCTGACTGTTGTTTTGAGCCTAGTAGTAATATGACACATACCCCTACACTCCAATTGTCCCAATGGACACAATGGAGTACTCTGTTTGGTGATCTGGTCTTTGTTTCTCACAAAATTATCTCATCATTATTATTTGACTTAATGATTGGACTGTACCGTGGGAACCAGTACACCAATTCTCAAATGGACTACACCATCAAACTCACCTTTGAATTTGCGTCAGAATGGTATATACAATGTCCATGCTCAGAGCAATACTTCAGTCTCTACCAGGCCATCTATCTAAATCAACCATTAATTCGTCAGAAAATGCCTCGGCAATTTCCGGCGACACCTCGAGGGTTGCCTGAGGTCTCGCCGGAAATTGCCGGGGACCCATCTGGGCAGCCTCGATGGGTTTCTGGCAATTGCCGAAGTTCAGCCAATCATCAATAAAGCTCTGGTAGCCTCAAAACTTGATGGTTTTGCTCCGTTCTTTTTGCATATCAGCTTTAAACAGGGAGTAGAGTACAATGACAGGGCTGTATATACTGTATACCGTGGGAATACCAAACAGTTGCCATCAATATCAATCCAAGGCTATAAATTGCCATTGTTTTAACAATATGTGGCTACAACATTGATCAAAGTTCTGCTCAGATATAATAGCTACTATACACCGTGGGAAAATAAGCTATTAGCCATCATTTTTTGAAGTAGTACAATGTTTAGGATATATGTAGATTTTATCTAGCTGGAAACTAAACCAGAAAATCACTATGCTGTGGGAATTTTACACAGCTACCAAAATTATGTTTGTTCAAGAAGTCATTTCAGTGACTCTTTAGCTATATGGCTAACTATACTCATATATGTATAACATACTGTGGGAAATTATACAAGTATCATCAATTTACCTTCTATAGTGTAGGTTCAGACTACAGAAGTGTACTGCTATAGTATCATGACCTGTAATAATGCTCTCTATCTCATAATACATGTAAATCCCTCAAAGAAAGTAAATCAAAATTTGGCATGTAGAAGGATTGAAACCACAACCTTGTGCAAAGCTAAAAGTGAGCATGTTATCCAACTCAGCTATAGGCTCATTTAGTAGGAGCCTATCAATAGAGCCATATGGCAGAAATGAATCATGTTAAACAGATTGCTGTAGTGCTCTTAAGGGCATGACTATTACTTTGCCAAGTCATACATATAGGTGCTGAAGGAATTGTAAAGGCAGTTTCACATGGAATGTGCTTGCCATATATGATCTTGACATGCTCTTTATATGGGTAATAGCTAGAGCAAAGAGAAGTGTAGCAAATGGCATACTCTATCTGCATGCTACTGCACAAGCATCAGTAGTCAGTAGAGATTGAGTAGCTCTAAGCCTGGAGGCATGCCGGTTCAAGACATCCAAGCCCTGAGTAGGGTGAAATCAAAATCTCTGCCCTATCCGCTTTTAGCTATGCACCCCTAAATATTGCTTAGGGTATCTTGATAGGCCAAGGCATTAACGTCTCCCTCATTGGTATTGTCGGAAGCTACTCTACAAGAATTTGAGCAATGAGAGTGATCTGAGAAGGACGGCTGGGATACCCTGATATTGAATTAAACTACATGAATCTTGCCCTACTTCACAGCCTCAGTGACCTCATTGCACAGACTGATATGTGATGCTTCTCTATCTCTTCAAGCTCAATGAGAAGCTTGCAAGTACATACTAGCTCTCATTAGATCATGACAAGATGTGAGAGATGCTAGCTTGCTTGCTCTAATAGCTATCACATATATTGAACTGAGCCCGACACAAAACACGCCACGGGGCTGCGCCACGTGGTGTGGGGGTTTCCCTTCTTTGACTTGAGTAGAAGAAAAAGAGTACATATACATACAATAGAGCCCAGAATGACTCGTCCTGCCAGCTGTCATGGCCTACTTCTACGAGTCTGAAAAATGGGAAGATCAGCAACGACCGAGGCAGCGGGAGTGGTATTCTGTCAAATACTTAAGCTAGCCTTCAATTGAAGGATTCTTGGGGTCCCCAAGACAGGGTAACACAATTTGGCTGCATTTAAGGTTGCAGAAGACCCCGAGTTGCCCAAATGGGAGGCGTATGATAGCGTATGACCAAGCAAGGCCAGTGTACGATCTATGATACTAGATTATACTGCTGCAATTGATGGGCATTCGTTGTTTCCCATCAAAATGACCTCGGGCCATCATTCCAAGCTCTTCTGTGAGCCTCGTGTTCTCTCCCTGCCTCATGCTCACACTATTTGCTCATTGCCATCAGTTCACTGCCCTCCTGCCGCCCGCCCGCTGCCCGTCAGTGCCATTGATGGCATCAATCCTACCCCCAGCCAGCCACTGGCCCTACCCCCCTCCATTAACCTCGATGGTTTGGGGCAGTCAGGGGGGTTAAAATGGCGCATTTTTCAATGTGAATCAGACACTATAGTCAGTGTGTTTATAGGTGTGTTTGTTAGAGAGTTATGGGCCGAGGAAGGGGGGAATTGCCAGCTAGCAGGGCAGCCAGCTGGTGCTCCCCCTTGCCACGGTAGTATCGTGATGCCACTTTGCACGTACCTGCTTTCAGATCGTGCAAATTGATATAGCCACTTACCAGGTCCGTAGCTATAGCCGTTCTGGCGCTATGGCCTGTGCACCGCTCTCCTCTCCCTTCTTTCCCTCCTCCCTCTACCATTCGCACACTTCCCCTCCTCTCCGCCTGTAGAGCTCGGTATAGGGGTTCTTGAGTATGCCAAACATGATGGTGTACTCGGCTTAGCCCCACGCGGCCGCGTTCTCAAGCGCCGGCACATATACCCTTACCTCCTCCTCCCCACTCACCCAAAAATGTGCCCGCCGCATTTGGCCTCCCTGCACTAATCCTTGCGGTGGAAGCCTGCTTTACGATCCTGGCTATACGCCTGTGTGGTCACCGGGCTTTCGCCACTATCCGTTGGCTTGCTATTCCTTGTACACCTCCCCATCCCCTTCTCCCCACCATTCCTACCTACTTCCTGACCTCTTCTTGCTTCAGATACACTCCCTTTTATCATATACATGTTGATTATCATCCAATATACCAGATCTACCACTTCCCCAATGGGCCTCATATAGTACAGGCTCTAGATTCACCAAATATATTAGATTTTGAATTTATCTTGATTAAAATATGTATTTATATGCTATATAAAATATATATCAGCTAAAAGCATAGAAATAGGCGATTCCAGTGCTATAATTCATACAGTATAGCGCCAGGAGAGTGAGGAGGGGCAGGCTGTATATTAAAGGCAGCTCACCTGAGCTGAGGCCTATCCAAGTGAGCTCTCAAGCAGCTCAAGCCTGCTGGCTGTCCAACTATCTGCCCATTCCCCCCTCTACCACCCCCACCTGTACTCACATACTATACATACTTTTGATCACCTATTTAGGCGCTATTGTACTGTACCATTTTTATACCAATTAGAAAATGTAAATTAAATCACAAAGAATTCAAAATCAAATATAATTGGTCTATCTAGCCCTACTACAGTAGTCTAGGGTTGGCAGAAGCAGTACATAAAATGTTCAGGGATAGATTGAAGGTGACAGAGAGCAAATGGGGATAAGGGAAGGCGAGGGGAGGCCAGAAAATAGGTAGGAATAGTGTGGAGGAGGAGATAGGGAGGTGTACAAGGAATAGCAAGCCAACAGATAGCGGCGAAAGCCCGGCGACCACACAGGCGTATAGCCAGGGTCGTAAAGCAGGCTTCCACCGCAAGGATTAGTGCAGGGAGGCCAAATGCAGCAGGCACATTTTTGGGTGAGTGGGGAGGAGGAGGTAAGGGTATATGTGCCGGCGCTCGAGAACGCGGCCACGTGGGGCTAAGCCGAGTACACCATCATGTTTGGCATACTCGAGAATCCCTATACCGAGCTCTACAGGTGGAGAGGAGGGGAAGTGTGCGAATGGTAGAGGGAGGAGGGAAAGAAGGGAGAGGAGAGCGGTGCACAGGCCATAGCG